ACCAGCATGGGAATCGTCTCTTGTGACTGGAAGCTTTTCAACTGCTTTTGTTTATAACTTACTGTTTAATTTGCCCCATTCTAAGAAAGCACAGCTTGCTGGCCTGTGTTTTCCAGGCTCACTCCAACCCTTTAAAGGCATATCTAATAATTTATCTTCTCATTCTAGCTCTGAATTTGTCTGAGGCAAACAGCTGTCTTTATTTTTCTTTGGAGCTCCTAAAGAAATGCCATCGTATCATTCAGCTGATTTCTGGCACTTCCTCTTTGGATCCTACAAGTGTAGAAAAGGGCTACTGAAAGTTTCTACAATAAGCTTAGCAGAAAAGCCCTGTGAGAAGTGCATCCTTTAACCTCTGTAGTGGCATCAATCTTTTTTTATTGTTCACTGATACTCAGGTAAATGCATCAGCCTGTTGACTTGCACAGGTCTTTTGTGCCTGGTCTCTTGAAAGGAGGTCTTCCTGTTTGTTCTTCAGGTTATGTGTTAGCTCTTTTGTCATCCTCTTGATTGTTGCAGGAGCTAGGTATTAGTTGGGGGTGTTGATTTTAACGTCTAGCAGATCTTAGAGCTTGAGTTGGGGGGAGCACTTGGGAGCAGAACCTGGTTTCTTGAAGCTGCCAGCAGGAAAGGGAGTATCTTTCCCCTGTTCCTGGCTCATCAGTCTCACCAAGAAGGCCAGCAGGTCAGCAGAGAGTGCAGAAATTAAGATCAAGGATGGTTTGAAGCCATGAAACCAGTCCTTACAGAAACTGTCTGTAGCGCTGTGCACATCACAGGTGCTGGGCAGCATAGATGATGCTCCTCCTGGGGTGTCCACTCTGTTTCATGTCTTAGGTTGGACCTCTACCTTACCTTATATGTTCTGAAACTGTTAACTTGCAGCATCCTAAAAGTTTTTTCACTTGCTGAACTTTAATTGTATCTGGGAAATACCCAAGCAGTCAAATTTACGAGCCTGCCTGCCTATGTGTGCTCGACTTTCGATGCAGATTGTATAGCTGGAGTGTGACTGGGTAAAGACGCTGGTGGGTACATGCCCTGCTTCAACCCCATGGAAACACTACAGAGGCTTTAGTTTCAGCTCTGACAGGGCACAGTGCTGAGAAAACGCGTAACTTTACCGGTGTTTTGAGAAGTAAGGTTCAGCTGTATGAGAAAACCACGTAACACATTATGCTTCCTACCCCTCGCCATGTTACAAAAGCTTAAAAAACTATGGCTGAGTGTGCTTCTGGGGAACGGTGCCATCAGTCATCTTGAAAGGCAGCAGAGTGACGTCCCGGGGGCTGCGCCAGTCCTTGGGTCTGGTGAGGGGCAGGAGCTGGGTGGATCATTCTCTACCATGGGTCACTACCTGAAATAAGAGTCTGGCTTGACAAGCCTCTGGTCTGACCTGCTGTAGCAAATCTGTCCACCTTAGGTGTTTAGGTTTCTCTTCTGCAGCTATGTAACCTCCAGGTCTCGTCTCTTCGATCTGTTTGAGCAACTCCTGTGCTGTTAGGGACATGGTGGCTGCACTGTAGATGAGTGCTTGTGACTGTTCAGAATGTGAATATAAATTCTCCGTGTCCCTGATTTTTATACCCAGTAACTGAGAGCTCTATTCTTATAGCAGCAGTAAAAGTACTCACTGTTAAGTTACTTAAATGCTTGGGAGGTTTTAGTCTGTTATCTTGCATTTCACAGCGGAAAAAATTAGGACGGTCCTTTTGCCCTTATTTGTAGTGTGTGTTGTATCTGCAGCCATCTCACCCCGAAGTGTGACAGTAGCACAACTCATGCTGTCCCAAGATTATTACCGTGAGCATTTGGACAGGACGTCTAGGGAAAGCCTAGGCGTACTTTAACAATTAAATGTGTTTGGGCTTGAATATTGCCAGTCATTACAGGGCTTCTGTAACCAAAAGCGTCTTAATTTTTAACGATGTTTTCCTTCTGTTTTCACAGATTTGCACCGCGGAAGTGGAAGTTCTCATGACTCGACTCCAGAACACATTCAGGCAGGAGCTGAGTGGGGTTGGAGCCAGCCTAGAGAAAAGGTGGAAGTTTTGTGGCTTTGATGGATTGAAAATGACTTGAGCTTTGACTTAATGCTGAAAAGAGCAGCAGGATATGTATGCCAAGAAAACCTGGGATGCCTCTTACCTCTGTTCATGATGATTATCTTGCACGCATCACGGACTCGGGTGGGATAATATGTAAGTGAAACTGCAAGTCCAGAGCAGGACTGGAAGAAACTTCAAGTTCTGTAGCTTCTTTGATCAGTTATTTGTTAATGGGCAAGTGCTGTTCAATATATTTTGTGTAAAAAGTTCATGTCTGATATTTTTAAGCACAGCGTGTTGACTACATGTTTTGCCAATGTTGTATGTGTTTTGTGTGCCCAAATCTCTTGTCTTGTACCTTCTTTTTACGGGTAGGAACAGCCATGGACTGTCCTCTGAAGCAACAACAAAGAGGCATTTTCTGGTTTCTACAGTCACCGAAAGGAGGGGAGGGGGGGAAGGCATTTTTTAGACATTTCTATGACTAAAAACTGAGGTATGTTTAAACAGAAGATTTAGATGGCTCAGGGTTCTCAGAGCCAATCAATTGGTTCTTTTTCATGCTATTTTCTCTACTAATGGTTTAACAGTTAAGCTAAGATGAAGGCAGTGTCTCTAGGAGCCAAGTGTGATTCTGGCCATGCTGCTTGTGGTCTGTGCATTGCAGAGTCAGTCTGTAAATAATTTTTTACATGGGAAGGGTATTTAATTTTCTGTTAATCTGGGTGGAGCAGAGCACCTATGTCAGACCTCTATTTTAGTAATGGCTTACCACCAAATTTCTCAACTCACTTTGCTTTGGAGACCAAACTTCTGGAAGTGGTACAAGCAGCACAGATTTTTTTTTCTCCTCCTGAATCTCCCCAAGGGCTGCTCCTCCTGTTCTCAGTAAATACCAAGCCTTCCCCAACCCTCTGCTGAAGGTTATTAAGATGTATGGTAAAATGCATCAGCCCATCTTCCCAGCCTGTCCAGATCCCTCTGTAGAGCCTTCCTACCCTCCAGCAGATCAACGCTTCCTCCCAACTTGGCGTCATCTGCAAACTGACTGAGGGTGCACTCAATCCCTCATCTGGGTCATTGATAAAGATACTGAACAGAACTGTCCCCAGTGCTGAGGCCTGGGGAACGCCACTTGTGACCGGCTGCCAGCTGGATTGTCAAGCTCTAGACAGTCAGATCACTCCCTAAGATCCAGGGCTACCCCACCGCCTCTCCTTCCCTGCCTGTCCCTTTTGAAGAGTTTACAGCCATCCACTGCAGCTCTCCAGTGGTGCGAGTCAGCCCACCACGTTTCTGTGATGGCAGCTATATCATAGTTTTCCTGCTGCACAGTGGCTTCCAGCTCCTCCTGTTTGTTGCACGCGCTGTGTGCGTTGGTGTAGATGCACTGCAGTTGGGCTGTTGATCCCACCACCTTTTTTGGGGGAGAAGCCCTCATTCCTACATGACCATGCTCAGGCACTTCTGTGTTTTCTAACACAACAACCCTTGTGTCTTTGCTGTCACATGGATCTCCATCTCCTACCTCCCCTGAGACGGCAGACCGGAGGACCTTGCTTACACACTGTCCCTCAAACATTGGCGTGCTGCCCCCAGGCTTATCTCTAGTGAGCCTGGTTTTATCCCTTTCCCCCTTTAAATTGAGTTTAAAGCTCTTTCAGTGAGCCCTGCTAACTCCAGGGCAAAGATCCTTTTCCTCCTTTGAGACAGGTGCACCCCGTCTGTCACCAGCAGGCCTGGTGTGATATAAACCAACCCATGATCAAAAAAACCATAATTCTGCCGGTGACACCAGGCTGGGAGCCAGGTATTGATCTGCTGGATCTGCCTGTTTCTCTCCTCGTCCATCCCTGCGACTGGAAGGACAGAGGAGAATGTTACTTGAGCTCTGATCTCTTAACCAGCTGTCCCGAGGCCCTGAAGTCTCTCTTGGTCGCCCTTGGAATTCTTGTTTCAGCTTCACCGCTGCCTGCCTGAAAAATCAATAGTGGATAATAATCCAAGGGCCACACCAGCGTAGGAAGCTCTCTCTTCACATCTTTAACCCAGGCCCCAGGGCTGCAGCAGACTTCCCTAAGAAGTGGGTCTGGTTGGCGTATCAGGCCTCCTGTTCCCCTCAGAAGGGAGTCTCCTGTGACAGTGACCCGTCTTTTTTTCTTTATGGAAGCAGTTCTGATGCGGGGCATAGGCTGACTTAACCTCGGTGACACCTCCAACCTAGACAAACCATCGTCCTTGTTATTGTTGGTTCCACTTGCAGAGCCTCCTGCCTTTGATATCTGGGCCCCTGGGCAGGTGGGGTGGTCACGGAGGAGACAGGCCTGCTGTGCTGGGCAGGGACTGGTCACCACTGACCCTGTCCCTTCAGTTCAGCCAGGTGGAGAGAGGACAGGGTCGCCTGTTCAGCAGAGACCTCTCCTTTGGAAAATCGGGAAAGAAATGGTAGAAAACGGGAGTGTTTCAGAGCCCAGACATGGTTGGAGCATGCAGGAGTCGGGAAAGACACGTCCTTGTCCCTGCATCCAGAGGAGATCCGCTGGATGAGCGGGGCGCGAGGGCTGGATCTAACCTAAAACCTGGAAGCTAATGCAGCAGAAGGACTCGTGGTGCTGCAGCCCTCCTGTGTCGGCCACAGGGAGGGGGGTGGGGGTTGTGGTT